GCTACACGCGAAACGAGCTGAGGAGCAGCCTTGTATACTTAGCTTACTGCGCTTACATATTTCCTTGCATACTTAAATCACATGGGAAAATTACAGTGACCTTTATTGTCACATGCGCTTACAACGCAGGCTTAATTCAGCGCTAAGACTTATGGCACTAAAACCCAGCTGTGATCCGAGCCGCCCCCTACTTTACTGTCGTTTTCTGATTGTGTTGACCCACAGTGCGTGGGCCTGCGCCTGCGCCTTCTCTCATTTCCAGTCTTATTGACTTTGTCTTGACACCGGGCCGAGGTGAGGAAATGGAGGGAGAGTGAGGTAAATGCAGTGCGAGTTTACTTACACTATAATCCAGCGCAAGTCACTGTTCCCCGTACCACCCTGTCCTGGAACACGTGGTAGACATAGTCGAAACCGACGATTTAACTGTCGTTTATCAAAACCTTCAAGATAAGAAATTTCTTAAAAGTATTTACCGAAGTAGTAAGTTCTTGGATTCCGCTTTTATATTTGCAAAGCCATTACTTCATTCTGTCATCCCTCTCATCTGCCCTATCTTGACTCCATTTTTTGCTAGGTCGGGGACCGCTGAAGAAACACTTTGCTGACATAATTGCCAAGCGCAATTGGAAACACGTTGTAGTGCTACTACCGTGGCTCGAATGGTCCGATTACCCCGTCCTTCTAGGCTGCGCCGATCTGGGTGTCAGTCTACATCGCAGCACTTCCGGTCTGGATCTTCCCATGAAGGTATATTTATCTTTCAACATCGAGATTACTCATCCGCCCACCTCATAACCTGTGTGAGCAAGTCTACCAGCCATACACAATCGATATCCTAAAAATTTAATTATCGGACTTTGAAGCATTTTTTCCCCGGTCCAATTTTGAAGGTTACGTAAACAGCAAAATTTATTGGTTCCATTAGTTTCTAGAGTGCTCATCAGTTGCCTCCTCTCGTTGCTGTTTTTGCAATCTTAAAAACATCTGACTTTGGTTCGACAGTCTTCTGTATGCTTAATAAAAGCCTTGCCTCCATCTGTGTAGACATCCATTATCATTGGTGGA